TATTGTTTTTTGTTTACTTTTATTATCTAAAACTTATTGGTTCTCTGACTATTAATTATCCAACCGAGTAGTAAACATCTTTACATGAGTAACGTATAAGAATGATTTTAAGGTGTAGGCTCTTTACTAGTAGATATTAACTTTTATGGTTACCCCACGAGATGGACAATTTTTTGTGCACTTAACAATATTTTAATTTTTTCTGTTATGTTTAGTTATTTTATGTATATTATTATAATAAAAATAAGATTTAACAATTTCTGGAAGTTTATTTACTGTTATAAAGTAATAAATATAATTATTACATATCCTTTACTGATGTAAATCAAACTGTTGGTATTTTGTTGTTGTTGTTGTTATACTTCACATATAATAATATGTAATTATTTTAATTTGTATAATATTAGTTATTTAATTCAATAAAATAAAATACAAAATGAAAAAAAAAAAAAACATTTCTTTAATATAATACGCATATATATGTATATAATGTACRTATATATATAATGTATATATTTACATTCACATGTATGTGTAACGTAAAGAAAACATTTACTCACTGAGCATTAAGAAAACAATGGAAATGAGTTTGTCAAAAACTATAAGTATATATTGTAATTACAATAGTTTATTTTTTCATACATATCTCCGCTTTAGCGGCTCTTTTTTTTAACTCTAGTAATACAAAGACTTATCAAACTTACATTTCATATACAACTTCTAACATCACAGACAAATGGTACATAAGAAAATAATTCTTTGTACTTATATACACGTTGTTTTCTAAAGATATAATAATGAATTTTTGTACACAAGAGGTTCATAATCTTAATGAAATTATAATGTGTTATATAAAATCAATATGTGTTTCAAGTTCATTAGAATAAAATTACAATTTTTCAAAAATTAATGGTTAATTTTTTGTTTAAACATGCAAAAAGAAAAGAAAAACATTTCTGAATTGCTTTGAGGAAATTAYTTTAAAGAGAGGTCAGTGGATAAAACACTGAACTTAGAATAAATTAAGAACCCCATAATAAAACAAAAGGAAAGGAAAGTAAATATTGAGACTTGGAGAAGAGCCCTATATTTATATATATTTAAAAGGAATAACAACTTTTTTTTTTTATAGTTTTTACGATTTATAAATTAAACAGTAGAAGTCGCCATAATTTTTACTAATTAAGAGCGACCACCAACCTGGAACTTTTCAATATCCTCAACACTGAGCATGTTTATATTCTGTGACATAGCAGGCATGTTTGGCAAACGGCCAGCACGGGCTTGTGCTAACAGTTCTGGAGAAAACCATCGTGCAAGCTGATTGCTAACAGGAGATTGTACCCGGTTCATACGAGATTTATCCCCAGAACCATAATTTAAACCTTTAAATCAATCAAACAGTATATTATATTAATTTCTATTCAATAATCATTAATTATTTATGACAATCTACGGATTAAGATTTTTATTTTTAATATTCATTGTATCAAAAACATATATTTTTAATTCTCAAGAAATATGTTCTAATTCAAAGATCAATCAACAAAATGAAAACTCACTGCGACCATTCATATTATTAGATTGTGGCTGCTGCTGTTGTTGAGTTCCATGGTATCTGGGATAATTACCACTAAGTATTTGCTGGATAGTTGTATTAACTGGACGTTGTTGCTGCTGTTGTTGCTGCTGCTGCATAAACTGTTGTTGCTGAATTTGCTGTTGTAGAGTGTTTATTTGATGCTGAAGGGCATGCTGGGTAACTAAAAAACATTTATTTTAGTTAAAAATTAAAAAATCTTTATTCATAAAYTAAAGCACAAAAAGGTACTATGATATCTAACCAGATCTTTCGTCAGGTATATTATGGTGTTTGTCTATCAAAGGTTCTGAGGTAGAAGTCATTTTACGCAATACAGATGTTGGAGTAAGGCCAATTCTTGGTTGAGATTGTGACTGAGTTGAGCCTAAATCCATACTACCTTCACCATATGATGCATTATGAACCTAATTAAAATACATTTAAGAAATACATTAAACATTTTTTTTTCTTTCTATAAGCTACACATACATTTTCCATCCTTTTATGGTTTTGATCAAGCAATTGTCTTTTAAGCATTTGGCTTTGATATAATGCAGCTTGTTGTTGTTGGTAAACTAAGTCCTGTTGGTTAGCCATTCTTTGGGCATCTAAAATAATACATTTGTATTCTTTAATACTAAGTTTATTATTTTTCAATAGAATAATATTAATATTAAACACATACTGCTTGAATGTTGGAATACTTTCATCAGACAAATTAGAGTTTCACGATAACGGGACTGATTAGCACTAGTCTTTTTCCATTGTTCTACCAAATGATGTAGCATTACTTCACCTCGTTTTATTCCTATTAAAATTATATTATTTATATTTATATTTAATACAAAAATATAATTTTATATATTTATATATAGTACCCATAAGCATTTCTTGGGCTTCCCGGCTTTGCAATATATCTTTTGTAGGGGTATAGAAGTTGACCATATTTTGAAGTTCTACTGGAAGTTTGTACATATGTTGCTTAGACTGTTGTTGTTGAGCAGCCATTGCTTTTGCAACCATATTTTCATGTTGCTTTTGAATMTAGATTAACAATTAAAAATGATAATGCGTTACAGAAGATACTAATGAAGAATACAAAATAAACTATTTTTTTGTTTAAACAATTTTCAAAGGATTAATTTTATTAAAATAATTAAACATAGTTTTATCAATTTTGTAAAACTATGACTATACATATATCTTCATTTTAGTTGCAGTAARAGTTATAATATTCATGATTTCTTTAATTAAACAAAAATTAAAATACATAGGTAATTGATAATTCTAAAAATAAGTTGAAATTTTAATATGTCAATAAGAAGCCAAAATATTTTGAATCTAGAAAATGATAACTGGCCAACTGGGTGAATAATTTAGGCACTAGATTCTATTTGCTTAGAGATTGAAATGTTTTCACAGCTCTGAAATGAATTAATTAACACTCAAAAAGGATAAAAACACAATTGAGAAACCAATATATTTCATCTTAGCTCAATTTAAAATTTAATTTTAATTGTTTAATTTGTTTATGCTTCGCCTATGTTTTAAAAAAAACTATGAATGGAAATTAGCTTTAAATTACTTCTAATAAATAAAATATTAAATTTCATGATTGTTTACCTGTTGTGCTTCCATGAGCTTCATAACAAGATCATTAGGAACTTGCATATTAGGCTGTTGACTGCGATAATTATTTGAAGAACCATATTGACCTATGAAATAATTTAAATCAGAAATATATATTGATTTTTGATTATGAATAGAAATAATTATCCAGCGGCACGGTCATGGTGTGAGCTAAGTAAAACAATAAAATAGCAGCATGATGGTGTATATATGGTATATTGAAGCAAGAGTTGCCCATTTAAACTGTGTAAAATACAGTTACATTTGTTGTACAAAATAACTTTTTTCTAATACATCAATGAACTCCTAGTAAACTCCAAAACATTAGGAATATAGAGTAAAACAAACATGCTTCAGTAAAATTCATCAAAGTTTAGGTAATAAATGA